TAAGGGTTGGCTGGTCCCAGCTTCATAGCATACCCTCTGTGGACTACTTATCACACACTAGATCTAACACAAAATGCTTCCTGTTGATGATGTTATTTAATCTTATTTTATTTTTAAAAATATGTATAGGTGTTTTGCCTGCATGGATGTCTGTGTACCACATGCAAGCAGTGCCCAGAGAGGCCAGAAGAGGGCATTAGGTACTCTGAAACTAGAGTTAATGAGTGGTTGTAATTCTCTCATGTGGGAGCTGGGAATTGAACCTGGGTCCTCTGGAAAAACAGACAATGCTCTTAACTGCTAAGTCATCTCTCTGGCCTCTTATTTAATCTTTACAAACCACTTAGATCCAACATGAAGTAGAGGATCAGAGCTAGCATCATAAACAAGGCAGCTACAGCCAGTGGAGTTAGGTGCCCTGGCTGGGCCTCAGAGCCAGGTATGGAAGCCAGGTCTGCTCATAGACTGCCTGCCTCAACCTTCCCTGTAGCCAGCTTCTGGTGAAGCTTCAGGATGTCACCCTTAGCCCTGGCCATTTGTCCCTGTGCCTTCAGCTGCCCACTTCTTCTCTGTCCACTGTTGCTGCAGGCTACGATGATCTTGACTCTAGTCTCCTAGCACCTACCCTGGATCAAGATGCCAGTTAGGAAGCCTAGATCCCATGGATCCTTCTTGGATCCATGGACCTTTCTGATCTCCACTGGAGACTAACCAGATTCTAGTCCACACACCACACTCTGGAGTCAAAAGGAGGTACAGTGGGTATGATTATGTTTGCGACAGTGATCAGAGGAATGTCTTTGGAACAAGACAAGAATTGTCTGAGCCTCAGGCCATCGTTGATAAAGTGGATATAGCAAGGCCTACCCCACGGGGTTACTGGTAGGATAAACTACAGAACATAGTAGGGAATGCTGATGTTTCCTAAGTTCCCTTTGGGGGCAGGGATACCACTCTGGATTGTTTCATAGGTGACATTCTCTGCAGCCCATTCCAAATGGCCAAGTACGAGATGGTTTTAGGACAGGAAGCTGATGTGTCCCCACTCCTCAACCCTAGGTTCTTTTCTATTTCATGACCCACAGATATCTCAGTTCCCTCAGTCCTGAGCCATCCAGCTCCCTGAGAAAGTCCCTTACTCTGAAGACTCACTGCCATCTCTTCCTATTAGGGCCTAGGCTATGTGCCGGGTTCATTTGTTTATATAAGAAGCAGGGTCCCATGTTTGTTGCGTTCTCTTAACCGAGGGGAGACCTGAAAAGGCTTTCTAACCCATGGGGTCTCCAAACCCAAGATCTGCTCACCATACCTGTGTGGGGCAGGGAGGTTACTTGGATAAGGTCACACACACACGGGGGGGGGGGGAGTAGACAGAGACTGTGTTTCCCAGGGCTAGACCACCACCAGACACACACCGCCTTTAGAGAGGAGACCAACTCATATACAACTTGCCAGATTGTGGGACAATTGCCCTTGGGAAATGGGGGGGGGGGGAGGAGGAGAAGCGATAGGTCATGAACTGAGATGTCAGTGACCTTATCAATGGGACAAAGGTCTTTCTTGAGTGAACGAGTCTGTGGGGTTGGTGGTGGTTGTGCTTTGACAATTTTGTCCCGCAAAGCAGTGCTAGAATGAGCCCAATTGTTGCATGATATTTAATTACACTGTGTTAAAGATATGTCACTCTGATTGGTTAAATAAAAAGCTAAACAGCCAATGGCTAGTCAAGAGGTATAGCAGGGACTTCTGGACAGAGAGAGCTCTGGGAAGAAGAAAGGCAGAGTCACCAGCCAGATAGAGAGGAAGCAAGATGAGCAGCACATAGTAAAGGTAACCGAGCCACACAAAAGAACATAGATTAAAAGATATAGGTTAAGTTATAAGAGCTAGTGGGACAAGCCTAAGCTATAGACCAAGCTTTTATAATTAATAATAAGCCTCTGTGTCATTTTTTATTTTTTTATTTTTATTTATTTATTTATTTATTTATTTATTTTGTGAGCTGGCAGCCCAAAGAAAAATCCAACTACACCCAATGGGTAGTCATGTGTCTGCATGGATTGATGAATATCAGATGGAAGGGTATGTGGTGGTGGTAAGCTCTCCTTCCTTCTAGTCTGCTGCCTCTGAGGACCCAACATTCCTTCATAGGCCGAACTGTCATTCACGACATCATCTCAGAAGCAGAGGAACCAGCCCTAAGCCTCTGGCACCTAGATCTGTGTTGAGCCCTGTAGTGGGATTTGCTCCGCCCATGACTTGGGCTATATGGCTCAAAGGAGACTGTGCTTCCTGCCATTGTCCGTGACCTCTTATGAGCCCCACACTCCTCAGAACACTGTTGATATCGTGCCATGTCTGTTCCTAAAGACAGCTCCACGGGTGGACACTTGTCCAACATGTGCTCGGTGGGGCTCCCAGGCCTTGGACTGGGTGTTACACTTTCCAGAAGGACCACTTCCCTCCCAGCCTTGTAACCCAGGGCATGGTACCCAGCCAGAGCTCGGCAGGCTGAGGAGAGGGCGAAACAGGATCTGGGTAGAAAGTGAAGACTTTTGGCTAAGGTCAGTGGCCATGCTGTCTGTCTCTACAGCTCACAGAACTCCTCCAAGGTGGGCGCCACCACCAGCTTGCTACAGACAGGACCTAGCCCTCAGGATGCCAAGTGCAGGGAGAGGCAGGCCCTGGGCTACACCATCTTTCTCTCGTTTCACACAGGGCACGTGCAGCCAACCTTCATGTAGTGCTCTGATCTCAAGCCCAGACCTCACTCCTCCCGACTCTCTGACCCGATGCAGTGCCCCGATGAACTCCTTGTGGGTGCGATACTGAATCTTTGTGGGAATGTCGGAGGATAATGCCAGCACAGTGGGGCCTTTTAGCTTTTGAGACATCTGTGAGGTAGAGCGACAGAGTGGGCTCAGGGTATTCCTTGGTGCTCTCTTCAAATCTTTCCTCCACAGCTCTGTAATTTGTGGGCTCTAGGACAGTGGTTCTTAACCTATGGGTCATGACCCCTTTTGGGGTCACGTATCGGATATCCTGCCTATCAGATATTTTACATGACAATTCATAGCAGTAGCAAAATTACAGTTCTGAAGTAGCAATGACATTATGGCTGGGGTTCACCACCCCATGAGGAACTGTATTAAAGGGTCGCAGCATTAGGAAGGTTGAGATCTTCTGTAGGAGAACCTGAACTCTGCTCTTATCTAGTCCAATCTTTAGGATACATAAAGGGGCAGATACTTCTGGGCAGCCTTGAGACAGCTTCCGCTCTCCCCTCTCTGAGAAAGCATTGTTGGCCGCTCCGCCCATTTCCCATATGAACCCAGAGAGGAACTGGCAGACCCGGGGTCCCGCTTGTCTCCCCTCTCTCATCTTGTCGTGCCTTCAGCTCCTACTTGACAGCAAGAGGTGGCAAGGAGAGGTGGGAGCAGGTGAGGAAGAAGCGAAGGTGTCCCGGATCAGCATCCTCCCAGTCTTGTCTTGACGGACTGAGGTTGCCATGGCACCTCAGGCCCCGCCTCATCCTCCCTGACCAAACCCTGCCGCTTCTCCCAATAAAAGCTAAATTTACCCCTTTAACAAGTACAGCGCTGCATTAAAACACAATGGAATGTTTGGGAAGGGAGAATGTCGTGCCACGAGGGCTGAGGCGTGATGGCTGCTTAGCCCAGCCGGCCTTGGAGGTCCCGTGAGCATGGTCTCAGTTTGGGAGGGACAGGATATCAGAGTTCCACATCCCAGGGCAGATCCCACAAGTCTACCATGGGACAGTGCACCAGCTCTTCTTTGCCCTAGGTGACCTCTAAGGACTTGTGGCTCAACTCTTGTGGAGCTGGTGTTACTTGAAGACTCTGCTTTTCCTGGAGTTAGTGCGGCAAGGCAGTGCTCTTCCCTCCCACAGTCAGCTCAGAACTAGGAGGGGCGGGCCCCATGTTTGCGTCTACAGCCTTTTCCAGCCATCTTTCTCACTTCTCCTTGAGGAGCCTCGGCTATGGCTATCTGTGAAGCTCTACCTCACTAGGCCTTGCTCTTTCTCTGCCTCCTCCTTACCTCTGTCTGATGATTGGCCATTGTCCTCTGCTCCTTGGGATGCAGGCTCTGTCGCCAGCATCTTGGGAACTGCATGTAGATGATCATTCTCCATCTTAGTTCCTTGATGCTTCCCTGCCCGTCTTGGCCCTTGATCAGACACTTCCAAGAGGACGGCATGTTCTGTCTTCTATGGGGAAATCAGCTGTCCCTCAGAATTCACGCTCTCCTCGTACTCCTCTTCTTCCCACTAGTGGCTGATGACCATGTCTCAGACTTTCTGTCTCCCCACCACCCACCCAAACAGAGGCTGCTGGTACCTTCAAGCCTCCATCTGAACCTGTCTCTCATGGCCCTTTCCCCAACACGGAAGTGACCTGTTGATTTGTGACTGACAGTTACCATCATAGCACTTGGCACCAGGTAGATGCTCGGCAAACACCTACTCCCTGAGTAAGTGACAGTGTTAGAGTTAGGTCTACTGATGACTTTGTTGCTGTTTGTCTTGGAGACACAATCTGGGTATCTATTGGCCAGGCTGACCTTGGACTCTGGGTCCTCCTGCCTCCTGAGTGCTGAGTTTACAAAAGAGCTCCCCAACATCTGGCCTTTTGACTAATATTCATAAGTTAAAAATTAATATCATATGTTCTCAGTATAAAAGCCTTAGACAACAGAAATGCAAAAAAGCAAAACAAAACAAAAACCAAAACAAAAATACTTTAAGGGGCAGAGAGATGGCTCAGCGGTTAACGTGCCCGCTGCTCTTCCAGAGGACTGGAGTCTCGTTTCTAACACCTCTATCAGGTAGTAGACAACCAACCACCTGCACTCCAGGGGAGCTTGTACCTCTGACTGCTACAGGCACCCGCCATCATGTGTACACAGGCCTCCACACATGTGAACACATAATTAAAAGTTACAACGAGTGTTAGAAAAACTTTAAAAAAAACTTCCAAAAGTTAACTGTAATTTCTTCATTTATTAATCATTACTGTCCACAATTTGATATTTATATATGTTCTACACATCAATATAGCTTTCCTTTACAAAAATGGCATTTTATTAGGTGTAGATTATGACTTAACAATTGGTAGTACACATTTTCCTACATCCATGGTGTTATACTTGACCTTGGCCAAAGGCTGTTAAGGTAATACACCTTTGAGTGGTATGGATAACCTTAATTAAATTAACCATTTCCCCATTGTTGAACATTTATCTTTATTTCTTTTTAAAAAAGTTTTCCCTAATCAAGATCCTTATACATAAATACATGTGTACATTATTTTTCCAGTGGCTGAATTCCTAAGTGGACTTGTGGGTCAGAGAATGCATATCTTAAAGCTTTGATTTATATTATTAAATCTCATGAGACAATTTGCTTTTGAAACCAAATAAACACAAACATCATCTCCTACTTTGCCAAGCATAATAAATTCTCTTCTGAAGGCTCTAAGGGACCCCCCCACAATATTCTCATGGCTCTTACCACCCTCTCCTTCACACACACACACACACACACACGCACACACGCACGCACGCACGCACGCATGCACGCACATGCACATGCACACACACACATATCCTCATGGTTCTTATCACCTTCTCCGTCACACACACACACACACAAACACACACACACATATATCCTCATGGCTCTTACCACCTTCTACACACACACACACACACACACACACACACACACACACACACACATCCTCATGGCTCTTATCACCTTCTCCTTCACACACACACACACATATCCTCATGGCTCTTACCACCTTCTCCTTCAGACAGACAGACAGACAGACACACACACACACACACACACACACACACACACACACACACATCCTCATGACTCTTACTACCCTCTCTCCTTCACACGTGCACACACACACACACACACACACACACCCCTTTATGACTTTTACCACCCTCTCCTTCAGAGCTGTGCCCGTTACCTTACCAGAGAGACCTTAGTGGCCTCTCGTGTAAAACAGTCCTTCTGTTTTGACCCTTTATGCCTGTCCTAGGTACACTCAGCAACCCAGGTGAGTTTGGTGCTTGCTTCTGTATATCTCTTCCCAAGTCCACCAGCGTGGGGTCTTGGTCTTCTCAGTATCTTTGCTGGCAAAGCCAGGGCTAAGAAAACATCCCACGAAGGACAGCTGTGTTCACTAGTTACTTTTCCATTGCAGGATCAGAATCACCTGGCATGGATGACTTAGGGATGAAGAGGTTGACTTGACTCACAGCTTCAAAGGGTTCAGTCCATCATGGCAGGGGAGGGCATGGTGAAGTAGCTGAGTTCACATGTTGGTGGGCCCGGAAGCAGAGAGAACAAGAGGAAATGCTCAGGAATACTATATCCCCAGGACACACCCTAGAAACCCACTTCCTTCAGATAGGTCTTCCCATCTTCCCAAATCTCCAAAACCTCCCAAAATAGTGCCACCAAGTGGGGGCCAAGTACTCAAAACAGGAGTCTGTGGGAAACATTTCACTTTGAAACCGTAACTCAGAGATTCAAACTAACAGTGATGGCAATATAGAAGCTATTTTAAATAGTAGAGGCAAGATACAGGTGTTAGATCCACAGATCCTCTAGCTGGCTTTCTTTTTCTCTCCCAAATCAGGCCACCACCCCGCAGACTCTCAAGGCCAGCTACGGAGAGCTGCTAGGACCTTACAGTTTTCAGAGTCCCTTCCCTCCCCTTTACAGCTGTGAGCAAAGCCCAGCTCCCTCGGATGTCAGGCTTAAGACAATCTTGAATTATATCTAGGGTCTTCCTCCTTGCCACTTTGAGCGTGTAGTCTAGATAACAGGAACCCTCCCCCATCTCTTTCTAGAGACCTGTAAGAACCCTAACCCCCTTTGTCTTACAGAACCGAAGTCATTACTTAATGCTGTTTTTTTGGGGGGCGGGGGGCGGGATTCAGCCTCCTTTGAACCATACATGCTCCTTTAAGCAGCCCCCAATAAATAAATAAAAGTTCACCAAGTCGGACTTGGGTGTAGTGAGTAGCCATTCCAGCTTTGATCTGGAAGTTCCAACCCCCATTGAGGCTTCGGTAACTCTCACGCCTACAAGGTGGGGCCAAGAGAGGGCCCTGAAGACCCAAGATCCAGATGCGCCGCGCTTTCTGTTCCTGGACCCTGGACGCTGGAGGTAGACCAAGCAGAGTTCTCCAGAGAACACCGCCGGACTGTGACACACCTTCCCCAGACCCTGCAACCTACCTATCCCTTCATTTGTAAGTTACGCCACTAATAAACCTCCCTTTTAACAACGTGGAGTGGCCTTAATAATTTCATCAATACTTGGGTGTGATCATTTCTTTGGTTGGTTTTCCAGTGCCCTATCTGTAGTGAAAAGATGTTTGTGTCTTCCCAGGAGAAGTCACACTGTACCCCTGGGGGAGGAGGGGAGGCCTTGCCTTGGCTAGGGAAGATGGAGGGCCTGGAAGTAAGGGTGGAAACACTTGTGTGGGGGAGAGACCAGGAGAGGCTGCTTTCCCTGGGTCTGGCCATTTGTCCTCTCACCAGCCTTTCAGCAGCGCAGGTATCGGGAACACATACCTGCTGAATCCTCATGATGACACTGCACCATTTTGTTTCTTTCTTAAAGATGACAAAACTGGTTCAGAGAAGCCCATGGTTTAGTCCGGGAGGCAGGTGCAGGATCCTACCAAGCTGTAGTCCAAAGTCCATTCTCTTGCCCTGTCTGATTCACCTTGGAGCCATAACAGTAGCATATTTAGTCCCTGGGACTCCTGGGCTCTTTAGCTTCTATGTAATACAATGTCATAAGTACTCTTTAGTATAAAGGGTTCATCGTTACATAGAGTATACACACACATTACACTCTAAGGGCTGTACAAGGGTAAGTTTAGGGGTTTTTCTAATGTGACTATTCACTTACGTCCGTATTTCTCGCTGCATTTCAGCACTTCATGTTTTATATTACCCTGCTTTCCAGTTCCCTAATCCCCACTTAGCTTCATCTAATTTGCTGAATGACCTATCCACTATGTTATGATTGTGTTTTCATTTCTACAGTTTCATTTGATAACTTTGAAGGGTTCCAGTTCTTTTTATTTATATTTATTTATTTGGTTTTTTTTTTTTCCAAGACAAGGTTTCTCTGTGTAGTCCTGGCTGTCCTGAAATTTGCTCTGTAGACCAGGGGACCTCGAACTCACAGATCTGCCTTCCTTTGCCTCCTGAGTGCTGAGATTAAAGGTGTACACCACCATGCCTGGCTGGTCTCCAGTTCTTTTAAAATTCATTATCTTCTATATCTATTTAACATATGAATTACAATTATTTTAAAGTCTATCATTTTAAATATCAATATCTGGATATGCCAAGCATCAAGTATCTGTTTGTTTGTTTTCTTCCTGGCTTCACTCATATAATCTTGCTGCCTGGTTTACCTGGTATATTTCACTGACCTGGAAAAACCGTAGACACAGTTGAGATCCTGGATGACAGAGGTTTACTGTTCTTGCTTTTGGAAGGAAGGAAGAGGGCAGTCAGCTCACTTGAATCCAAGATGATAAATCTTTGTGAAGGCTGTTCTATTCCTAATTTGTAGTTTTTCTCAAGAGAGTGTTTCTTGTAGCCCAGGCTGGCCGCAAAGTTGCTATGTAGCCAAGGATGACCTTAAACATCTAATCCTTTTTCTTCTTTCTTTGCAGATATTTGAAGTCTCCCTTCTCCTTATTCTCTCTCTCTCTAGTTTGGTCATCCAAGGTACCCTCCTCAGCCCTGACTGAAGCCTCCTCCTACTCTGGACCTCTTCTTTCCCATCATCTAAGCTTGACTGCTGTCTAAATGATGCCCATGGCTTGAAGGGTGCTTGTAGACTGGCTTCCCCTCCAGGTTCAGGGGCCAGGTGGGTCAGCTCAGTAGCTCTCAGGTTACACGAAACCTCTGTCAGTCGAGAGAGGCCAGGCCTGCTCCTTCCCTCCTTTCTGCTGTTCCTGGGTGTTGAGAGCTACACCCGTTGTGTGTTTCATGCTTAGCATAGCTTGTCTCACTTCTCACAGAAGCAGAAGCAATGATGAAATGACCTTCATGTATGGATGCAGAAACCAGAGTCTTCGGGGTTTTGTTAGACTCTACACCTCACAGAAATACATACACGGATTTATGTGTTTCCTTGTTACTTTTCTGGCAATACAAAGGCAGAGAACATGTCTATGTGTCCATTCCGTGTACTAATCATATACTCATGCGTGACTTAATGTGTGTCTCAACAGAATGTAGGCAATAGAACATTGATTAAACAAAGCCTCAGGTCCCAAAGTTGCTTATGGCTGAAGGTCAGACTATAAAGGATTCACTTGGAATCCCCTGCTTGGTACCACCACCACCACCCACCACCCCATTAAAGGTAGGGAGGGGATACTTCATTCTTCAGGGTACTTAGCTTCTTTTTGTTGTGCTAGAGAATCTAACCAAGAGCCCTGTGCATGCCAGGCAAGTGCCTCAGTGGTTCCTTATGGGGTCAGTCTGTCTATCTATCTGTCTGTCTGTCCGTCCATCAGTCAGCCCGCCCGCCCACCCATCCATCTATCCATACATCCATCCATCCACCTACCTACCTACATCTATCTGTCTATCTATCTATCTATCTATCTATCTATCTATCTATCTATCTATCTATCTATCTACCTACTTCTATCTATCTACCTACCTACCTACCTATCTACCTATCTATAATCTATCTATCTATTTACATCTATCGGTCTGTCTATTTATCTATCTATCTATCTAAACATGGTCTCACCATGTAGCTCAGGTTGGCCTCTAGCTCTCTATCCTCCTGTCTGTCTGCTTCCTGAGATTACAGGCACATGCTTCTATATTGTTTTCCATAAACTGAGCTCTGGATCATCTGGGGTTGGGGATGGGGACTTTCAGGCAATTTCAGGTTACCTTGGTTCCAGTGGCTCTGGTGCATTTCCCTGGGGCCTGGAGATCCACAGCAAACTGAGGCAGGAACTCAGGAAGCTTCTAAGATTAGAGAAGACATCTGCAAGTGTGGACTCATTTCTTTAGAAAAGGGACACATGCTTTCCTCAGTTTCTCAAAGGATTCTGAGACCTTCAAAAGGTCCAAAGGCCTGAGTATGAGCGTTGCTGACTGTATATCAGCCTTGCCCTGCCACACACCAGTTCACCAACTGCTGGGGCACCTGGAGAGAGGATCTGTCTTGCCTGGCCTGAGCATGGATGGGACCAGTGCCCAGAGTGCTCCAAGGTATTCTCCACAGATATGTTGAGGTGGCTGTCACTCACCAGAGGGCTTTCTGCTGGCCCTCTCAGCTGCTGACAGGAAAGCCATTCTATCATCTGAGTGACATATTTGTGAGTCTTGCTTCTGAGAGCACCAGGTGAGGCCCAGGCGGTGGCAGATGAGCATGTGGGGTCCTCAAACCCGACTCCACCACTTTGATATGATGGACGACAGAAAGGAGCCACAAGTCCCTCCAAAAGGTCAGAAGTTATGGGGGACCTTCTCCTGTACAGCCTGCCCCAGGTCTCTCTCTGGGTCTGGGGACTGTGAGAGAGGCTCTGACAGTCTGGCATGGACACCCCAAAACACAGACCTGCAGAAGGGACATTTATTCATGAACAGTGTTTCGAAGTTCAAAGTTCATGAACATTGCTTTCATGAACTTACAGTTTCCCTCCCATAAACTTCTCAGAGTTATCTTTGTTTCTCAGACACACCCGCAGTCATTCTTCCTCTTACACACAGAATTCTCTCTCACACAGAATTCTCTGCATACAGAATTCTCTCACACACAGAATTCCCTCTTACATAGAATTCTCTCACACATAGAATTCTCTTTGCATACAGAATTCTCTCACACACAGAAGTCTCTCTTACACAGAATTCTCTCTCTCACACAGAATTCTCTCTCTCACACAGAATTCTCTCTCACACAGAAGTCTCCTTCTCTCTCACACAGAAGTCTCCTTCTCTCTCACACAGGATTCTCTCTCACATGTTTTTTTCCCCTCGTACTTTTACATGCTTAAATCCATTCCCGCCTGGCCTAGGCCCTCCTGCAGACCTGGAGCCCGACTCTGTGGCTGTCCCAGGATTCTGAGATGGCCGGCAGCTTCTTGGCTTTCTCAGTAATGTTCCCTGGTGGTCAGCCGTGACAAGGTCATTTCCTACACTGGGCATATTGCTGGCCTCATCCATTCTGATGGACCATTCTGAGGCTACTACTAAGGCTGTAACTGTGGGTTCTTACCCATTGTGGGGAATTCCCAAGAAGGTAGGACACTCGTGTTCTAGGAAGGGTCAAGGACAACTCTAGCCTGAGGTGTTGATTTTTGGGGGAGGTGTTGCAAGAACCAGGAAGAGGGGATATATCACAGAGAAGGACAGAATGAGGACTCCATACTCAAGACAGAGGTATTTTGAGAAAAATCAGGAACCAGGAGGACCCAGACTCCTGTCTAGACTGAACCACCCTGATCACTGCCCTCAGGCCGGCTTATGACATGGACTCACACCTCTTTGTTCTGTAAAATGTTCTCCCCTGCCCCTCTCTCCTCAAGACCTTTGAGCATGTCAAGGAGGAGAAAATATACGACCAGAGCCAAGGAAATCCTATTCTAACCTCTGCCTAGGTATGCATTGTAACCATGCCAAGTGTTGTCCTACTCCACCATGGCTCCTGGGGAGGGTGGCAGAGCACTATTCCTGGAAGACACAGGCTAGGACATCTCTGAGAATCTCTAACATCCTCTGGGGCTGAGTCCCCAGCTGTGGCCAGGCACAGAGACAATGGCATTACTAGACACTGAGACTTTGGAGTATAGACTTTGCCAGTTAGCCAAGGTTACTCGGATGATTGTGGCCTGGGCATAGATGGAAGTAGCTTAAAACTCCCTGATGCTTAGAACATTTAACATGCAAAACCAACCCACCAGAGGCACTTGAGGGCCTGGCTTTAACCCTTTAATTCCTGGAAGTGGGCAGCTGTGATGATCTGGAATGTGGCCTGGCTGAGACAGTGGCTATTTAGTTAATTTCCCAGAAGAATCCCAGAATCTGGTGACATGCACACATGTGGCTACCCAGACACAGCATTGGCAGCCTGGAAGCTTTTAGGAACCCCAGGGAGCTCACACTCAGGAGAGGAGGAGCCCTGGTTGTGGGACAGGTGGCAGCTGAGAATGCAAGCAATGACCCCACGCATTTCTTATTCACATAGGTCTAGGCTTTTGAGGTCTAGTTGACATACAATAAATTGCACATATTTAAAGTACACAGTGTATAGAAATATCGTGATGAAACCTATTTGTTTGTATGTGTGTGGGGGTGGGGTAGGAATGCTTGTTTATGAAGGCCAGAGGAGGGTGTCAGGTGTCACTATCTCTCTGTCTGCCTAATTCTCTCGAGACAGGGATTCTCACTGAACCTGGAGCTAGGCTGATCCTCCTATTCCCTCCCCAACAACACTGGGGTTACAGGCATGTGTGCTCCACGTCCAGTTTTCCCCATGGCTTCTGGGGATTTGAACTCAGATCCTCATACTTGTACAGCAAGTGTCCTTCCTTGCTGAGCCATCTTCTGAGCTGGAAATCCATTTTTTATTTTGTACAATTGAGATCTGATGATAAAAGGAAAAACAAATGATACAATATGATATGTTTTGGCACATGGAAATACTGTAAAACCATCACTACAATTAAGAGAATGAATCAATCTTTTCTTCTTCCTCCTCCTCCTCTTCTTCTTTTTGGTTTTTTGAGACAGAGTTTCTCTGTGAAGCCCTGGCTGTCCTAGAATGCACCTGCCTCTGCCTCCGGAGTGCTGGGATTGAAGATGTGCCCTCCCAGGACCCCGCTCAGATTTCCTGTTGACGACTCTTCTGCCTGCCCCTTGTCCCATGCCCAGGAGACCACTGACCCATTTTCTGCCGTCACAGATTTGTTTTCATTTTCTGGAGTTGTGTGTGGAAGTGGCTCCTTTCACACTCACAGCGCTCCTCTCCAGCGGCCGCTATGTCCTGAGCGATCCTTTGCAGATGTTGGTGAGAAAGGCACAGAGAAGTTTCTGCACCTGCCTGAAGTGGCCCGCTGGGCCAGTGAGGGCCAGAGTCCTAACCTCAGCACCACACTACCCCTTATGGAGGCCAAGGAGCCAAGCACAGGGCGCCCTCAGAGGCGTCTTTCAACCTGCTGTCCCCCGCCAGGGGTTAATGTAGAGGGAGTGAGGGAGGCTTGTGGGAGAGAGAAAAGGACTAAGGAGCTGGTGATGGGAGTGGGGGTAGCGGCCAGGGTGGCTTCATCTGGAGCAAGCCTGGGCGAGGCCTGGAGCGGCTTTCCTTCACGGGCAGGTACAGCGAGAGTGCCCGCCAGCCGCAGCTTTGCCCACCGGAGTTTGAGCGACTCTGGCCAGAGGTTTTCTGTTGCGCTATGGCGGAGCTTGGGATCTGCTCCCTACTGGGGGCCGGCCTGAGGCAGAGGACGGAGGCCAAGTTGAGTGGAGGGCAGTTGTGACCTCAAAGACCCCTTCGGGTTCCGCCTGCCTGGGTTGAGAGAACTGGTGCTTGGGCAGACTTTGACCCTTGAACCTAGGGGCCAAAGGTGTGTTGGGAGCTTTCAGAATGTCAGCTCTGAGCCAGGCATAGCAGTGCTGTTTCCGTAGACATCAATTCACCCTTCTGAGACCCCCATACACGCCCAACACCCATGCCTGTGACATTGGCTGAAGAGCAGTAAGGCACTCAGACTTCCCTTGGGGATCCCCAGGGAATGGGGAACCACGGAAGGCCAGTTGGAGCAGGGCTTTGAGGAACAGTATCAGGAGGGGAGCCCGGCCACGAAGTCACAGAGAACATACATGGAGCGGCTGCTCCCAGCCCCCCTGTTATGACCACCAACAGTAAACAGCAAAACCCAAAACAATAAATACCGACCAGAGGGCACTAACAATGACGGCTTTACCTAGCTAAGCGGCTGCGGTGGGGGACCTGGTGGTAAATAACAAGCAAAGACTGTAAATCACACTTGGAGACTTGATCGATATACAGAGAACTCGACCCAACTCTCACTAGGGAGCGAACGTGCCAGTAGCCCTGAGTAACTGTGCGGGGACTCTCCAGGCTTCCCTGGTACAGGGGAAAGGAAGCCCTGTTTGGAACATAGGGTCCCAGCCCAGCTCTGCTGGTAGCTTGCTGAGCTACCGTGGTTGCTGAATTTCTCTGAACTTCCTTCTCCGGTGTTGTGAAACAGTGGGCACCACTATTTCTAAGACTCGCAGTTCCCTGTGCCCTACTCTGGGGTGAATGACAGTTCGCCAAGACCCCAGCTGGCCGGTGACAGGAAGGCAGCAATGCACGGCACAGGGAGCAATTTTACTGGAAAGATGAGAGGAAATTGCATCTTTAATAATTCACCGGCCGGTTTGGAGAGAGGCAGGTTGGCGGGCTGCGGAGCCGCCAGGCGATCCCAGCTTCGGTTCCTGGAAATCCGCTGGCTCCAGAGCCTGCCCAAGAGGCCCGGGGCCTCCATCTCCTCCTGGCTGAGGGACAGCAGGAGCCGACAGAGTCTAGACCAGGGTGAGAGGTTAAAACACAGCCATCCCGGGAACCCGCTAGATTGATATCCCCAGCAAAAAGGAGCCAAGATAATCGATACGGCAGCCCAGGCCGGCAGCCAAGCCGGGCCCAGCCTGGTGGGGTCCTGGCAGAGGAGGGTCCCAGGCTTCAGCCAGCAGACTGGGGTGGGGTGGGGGGCTTTCCTCCACACTCCCAGAATGAGGAGGGGGCCATAGGCAGGTGAGGATCAGTGCTGTGCTAGGCAGCCTGTCCAGCTGGTGAGGTGGAGGGCAAGGACATGCAGCCCAATATCCTTGGTGGGTCCCACCTTGTCCCTCCCTTCTCTCCTGGGCTCTCTTAGGAGGAAAGCCTTCAGATGATTGTCACAGGCATGTTAGGATGGAGCCAGAGACAGACAACAGGTGAGGAAGAGAGAGGGAAATCGAAGGAACCCGAGGATAGATGGGCCACGACATGTGAGGATGCCAGAGGAGACACTAGCCAGATTCTGGTCCCTCCGGAGGCCATGCCGTTGGTCCTTCCCAGAGTACCTCATGGATCTTCCTGACTGTGTCCCTTCCTTCTGAGTGGGACCTGCCGGACAAGAGGTACCTGAGGCCCTTTGCTCTGGGAAGAACACTGCTTTTGTAGGCTGTCTTTATTAGCAGGCCTTTCCGGGAGATTTCAAAGCCTTCCTAGGTGGGTGGGTCAGTGAGGGGGCACTCCAAGGGAGAGCAGATGGGGTTTGAGAGGATGAGGGGGCCAAAGCGGTTTGGGCAGAACACCTCTTCTTTAATACCCCCCCTCCCCCCCCCAGCTTAAAAGGGTCTCAGAACACAGCTTGAAAAGCAACAATACGGTTGGGCGGTGGTGGCACACATCTTTGATCCCAGCACTCAGGAGGCAGAGGCAGGCGGATCTCTGTGAGTTCGAGGACAGCCTGGTCTACAGAGTGAGTTCCAGGATAGCCAGGACTGCTACCCAGAGAAACCCTGCTTTGAAAAACCAAAAGGAAAAAAAAAAAAAAAAAAAAAAAAAAGCAACAACACTCTAACCTCCTCTGATGGTTGGGAAACTGGAACATAATGAAGAAACCCCAGTGTGATGGCCCAAGCCTGCAAGGTCAGGAGACAGATGGACTTCAACTCTGAGGCCAACTTGGGCTGACTAGCAAGACCGTGTCTGGAAGCAAGCAAGCAAAAACTCGAACCCAAGGAAGCATCATTCTCACAAACAACGAACTGGTTGCCTTGGAGCCAGGGATGGATTCGGTTCTGCTGGCTGACAACCCAGAGCTCTTAGCATGCGTCCCAAGGACCCTAAGGACCCTCTTGCTCACACTCTGCTGAGGGGACAGACAGTGTGACCACGAGGCTGTTGCTCAAGTCAGCAGTCCTAAGATTCATCTTGACTCACTGGTCCTTGTCCACGCCAAGCCTGTGAGTCTTACTTTCCTCCTGTGATTGGTCCACTCACCGGCCTTGTGGCCTTCCCAGTCACACCTAGTAACATGACTCTAATTCTGAGTGAGAAAAACTCCTCCAATCTAGTAGGTCCAACATTTTGGGAACTCATCAGGGTTCAGAAAATGGGCCAAAAAAAAAAAATGCTTTGAAGTAGATGAATTAGATGTTAAAACCATCAGCTCACAAAGCAGGGTGTGGTGGCACTCACTGGCCTATAGTCCCAGCACCGAGGAAGCCAAGGCAGCAGAACCTGAAATTTGAGGACAGCATGGGCTACAGAGTGAGACCTTGTTTCAAACAACCACCACTATGACAAAAACATCCGTCTACGCTGCAAAGCTCATGGTCTTTGTAAGAATACTCCTTGGTTCCTCACCGAGGGCCTGTGTGATCCTTGACAAACGGTTCTGACAAGTTCGATGGCTTAGTTTCTCAGGCCGGAACAATGACAGTGATAATGAATTTAGGATGAGAGAAGACACAGAAGAAGCTACAACAGGAGCTGGAGAGCTGGCTCAGTGGTTAAGAGTACTTGCTGCTCTTAGAGAGGACCCGGGTTCAATTCCCAGCACCCACATGGCTGTCTTCTATCATGATGTGAGGAATAAGGGCTAAATGAGGTTTCTAAAACCTTAGGTGTGATGCCTCCTGCTGAGCAGAGCTAGTTCTTAGAGACTCTGCTCCAGGAGGAGAAGAACAGGCTGTGGATCCCATTAGCCCCCTTTCAACTCACCTTAGAGGTATGGTCTTCTGAAGCCCTATGCACAGTCTTACATTGAACAAAGAAATGCTGAGGTCAGGCATGGCGGTGCACACTTCTAACCCCAACACTCAGGAGGCTGAGGCAGGAAGACTGCACTAGACATTTCCCCAAAGTGGCTCCAAGTCACATTGGTGGTTAGTGGGACTGTCGCCTGGGTGACCTGAGTTGAAACTGTACAGGTGTTGTGTGTCTGCTGTGGAACTTGCCACTGTTGGCTGATCCAAAGCAAGTCCGTGGGAAGGACAGGCCTGCAGGGCTCTGTGCATGTGAGCGAGGGAGCACCTTTCAAGTTCGCCAACTGCTTCAGCAACACTTGGGTTGTCAGGGGAAGTGCCATAGTAGAAGTTTGTTTTCAGCTTTCTAGCTGGTTTTCCTCACGAAGAGTGGATGGGTGCAGGATTCCCCCTGGCTCATCACCTGGTAGGGAGGGGCTGTCTTTTCTCCCTAGGCTGGGAGTGAGCTGGGCAAGCCCGGCAGTGTTACCTGAGGCCCTGAGTCAGGCACTGACTCTCTATCACAGGTATACCATTGACCTTGCACCAGGACCCCCAGACCCCAGGGGTGTGGGGCCAGGCTTGTGGGTGAATGGCTGTGGTCCGGGGTGTGGGGCCAGGCTTGTGGGTGAATGGCTGTGGTCTGGGACCCTCTGCTGCCTGGGAGGTGAAAGTCATTTGAAAGCCCTGGGGGCAGGTTATGGGTCTTGAGAGCTGAAACTTTGGTGGCTGAGTTCATCACACACAGAATCCTCTATGCATCGGGGCAGCTGTGGGATGCTGGCTGTGGTCATGTCCTCCAGAGTCCGTGATATCCATAGTCTGGATGCTCCTATGAATTACATAAGGCCGTGAGTGCTCAGGACCATGCCTGGGATGCAGGAGTCCTCAGAAAATGAAGGGATGGCTGGGGATGGAGTCCCATGTGTGGGGACACTGGCTTCCTCATGTGGCTACTGTGAGTTGCCCTCTTAACCCTCTCTCTGCCCTAAGTCACCCCAAAACCAGTGGGCAGCCAGGAAAGGCAGGGCTCCAAGCTCAGGGAATTTACCTACACAGGGCTGATGTACCTCAGGCTTAGTAGTGTGCTGCTGTGAACCGAAGGCCTAGCCCCAAATCCATGTTAGAATTCTAACCCCTAGTATGGTAGCATTTGGAGGTACATCTTTTGGGGGGCAGTTATGTCACAAGAATAGACTCCTTAAGGATGGAGTTAGTATCTTTACAAAAGTCTCCTTTTCTGCCTACGTGGATGCATTGAGAAGTTGGTAGTCTGCAACCAGAAGAGTCCTCACATGAGCCTGCCCTGCTGGCACCTCATACGGCCAGAATTAAACTCCTGTTGTTCATAAGTCATCCAGTTCTATGGTGCTTTGTTATAGTAACTCAAATGGATGAAGCTAGGCTCGCTCATGGGGCCCACAAAAAAACGGTTTCTTTTAAAATTAGAATGAAAACTTAACTTTTAGGTTAAAGAAAATGGTTTAATAAATATTTGGTATATTTATCTTTATACTAACATAGCCATGAAAACCAGCTTGCACACCCTTCCCACAGAGGGGGTGGGCGGGCCTGTGGAAGGAAAAGTGCTTAGGGCCTATGAATGTCATAGACAGCCTCCAGTCAGGATTTATATTCTGTTGAACTCCAGTGACGTACTGGGCACTCCCCAACTCTAAATGTGCTTGCGCCCCACTTCCGTCACAGTGGCAAACCCCAGCACCACAATTTGAGGGGCGTGGCTACAAGATCCACGGTAGGTGTTTATTCTACCAGATCACCACTCTTCTCATGGCCAACATGATGCTGTACTCCCAGGGTGGCAGACAGTGGCTCCCAACCCCTGTTCTCAGGCACTCTCTCTGGAAAAGGAGCTCTCTAAGGTCAGGATTCTGGAAGTTGAGCTGTGTGGGTGTATTCTGTTTCAGCACATAGTTTGAAAACATTTCTAGCAATTTGGGTACTGACCTCACCCTTGAAGTGTCCACCCCACAGGGACTCTCTCATCTCCTGCCCACCTGAGAGCCACTGGCCTTTGGAAACTGGGACCCAGCAGGACACACTGTGCACATATATAAACAATGGACCCAAGCTTTGCAAGCTCCTCCCACCCCCATGCAGAAAGCCCAGATGGCCCTGGTCTCCACCAGCCTAGAGGGAAGTGTGGGGAACCTGCTCTGGGCCCATCTCAGCAGGCAGCTAGCTGCCCCTTTGTCTGAGTGACTGGCCTCTGCAGGGGACAGGGGGTGTGGCAGAAGGACAGCCAGCTTTCTGGCTATGGTAAAGGGCACATGGCCCTCAGGCTGGGCTTGGTTCTTACACTGCTTGCCGGCGGCTCATCTGTAAAACAGAGTCAGAATGGAGTCCAGCTCAGTGGGGAAGCTTCCTGAGGCTTTGGGTTCCATGTCCAGCACCACAGAAAAATTCAAAAAGGGCTGGCAAGATGGTTCAGCGGGGAGAGGTGCTTCTGGTGTAATTGTGGTAACCTGAGTTCAAGTCCCAGAACCTAAGTAAAGATGAAAGGAAAGGACAGACACCACAAAGCTGTCCTTTGACTTCCACACATGCACTGTAGCAAGCACACACACACACACACACACATGCACACACAGGCACACACAGACACACATGTATTACACATACACACACAAGCACACACAGTCACACACACATATACACACACATATACACACAGGCACACACACACACACACACACACACACACACACGCTCGCACAAAAGCAGACAACAAGAAACAATGAAAACAACAAGGGGCTGGAGAGATGCTTAGCCATTAAGAGCACTTGATCTCGCAGAGGACCACGGTTCTGTTCCTGGTACCCACATGGTAGCTCACGTTCATAACTCCAGTTCCAGGAGAGCTGATACCTTCTTCTGACCTCTGAGGCGCCAGGAACACATGTGGTGCACATACCATGCAGGCAAAACACTCAAATACACACAAGAAGATTAAAAATCTTAAACGAAAAACCAAGCAAGTCAAAACCATACACCATTTGTCTGTTTCACTGGACCAACTGAGAGCATCAGCCTATGGCAGAACCCCCGTTTCCCCGTCCAGTGTTCCCTCCTCTGTCTGCATCCTCTGCCTTAGTACCCAAAGGCTTTCCTAAGTCTTGTGGGGTGCGTTTTTCTAGATGATTCATTCAAAACGCAGTTTTCTTCTTTTGCCTTTCTCTAGCGCTGGGACAAATGTAACCTGCTCTTTACACTACAGAGGACACACAGCAGCGGAGATGGAAGTGAAAGGCAGGGTGGAACCATTTCTTATGTGGATGATAGGTTGCATGGGACTCGGTAATCTATACCCGTCTACACTGGCCTGTCACCCAGAATTGTCTGGGTGGAGTCCCGGGTCTGGACTCCCTTTTCCTCTCTGGGAGTCATCTTCAAACATTTTGCTTTTTGACCTCTCATCTCTGCTTCTTTATGCTTTCTCATACTTGTATATTGGCTGACAAAGATCTCAATCACTTAATTAAATCATTTCCTTCTACCCCGGTGGTGCGTGTTTGGTCATCTGCAGGCAGTGTAGTAGAGGCATGGACTCAGTCCCGAGCAATGGCTGAATCTCAACTTGTCCTCTCCAGACAGAGTTTCTCTGTGTAGTCCTGGCTGTCCTAGAACTTGCTCTATAGACCAGGCTGGGCTCAAACTCACAGAGATCTACCTGCCTCTGCCTCCTGAGTGCTGGGATTAAAGGCATGTGCCACCACAGTCTGGCTGAGTCGCAGGCTTACAAAAAGTCATTGCCAAATGCTATGAGGACATTTCCTGGGATGGGGGTAGGTCTAGGGGATGGTTAAATTGGCAGCAAACCAAAGCTATCACAAAAGCCATTTTCTTCAGGAAATTCCACCACCCTGGCTTGGCCTCAGAGCTTAGCTTTTAGATACAGAAGTCCCATTCCTCTCTGGACATTATCTTGCATAAGCTCTTTCTCAACCTCTTCAGACCCTAGAGTCTGCTCCTGCCCTGCATGGCAGCCAGGCAATCAGGACTCTCCTCACCAGCTCGCAGTCTGGGCTGGTCTCTTCTGAGACTCCCATCTGTACCAGCTGAGGCACAAAAGGCTTGGGCAAAGATTACCATTGCCGAGCTCAATACAGAAAAGACTCGGGGACACTTTTGGTTTTGGTATCATTTATGTATTTATTTTTTTTAAACCCACTTGTAGTTTGGGTTCAGCTGGGAAGCAGGACATACGGGTGGGGGGAAGGGGATGGCGTGAGCAAGATTGGCCCATAGCTTTGGCGGGAAGCTCCAGACCCTGCTCCAGGGAGGTAGGTCCTGTTGTCAGGTTCCCAGCTGGTTCAGGTGAGGTGCCAGATCTTCTGGTGCAAATGTCCGAAGCAGAGGAGAGTTCCATTCTCTCCAACCCACCTCCTCAAAGACCCAGTCAGGTTTCCCAACACAGTGCCAGGCAGCGGAGGGACATCACGCCATGGGCAGGCCTGAGTGTCTGGGACAAGGAACGCTGGCTGACTTCTGATGCCAGACAACAGCCTCGGAGGTGGTTAACTAGAGTCTGCCATCTAGAATGGCCCCCAAGGAGCTGCTTCTCTTGGCTCCTGGGCTGTCCGGGCTCCGTCCCTGCAACTGCCCCGGGTGCAACCAGTGGTATACTTCCCCCACCCTTCAGACAAAATAAAATAAAATACAATAAAAATTAGAATAAATACCAACGGGGTCAACATTTACATTTACACAGATAGACAAGATGATCCCCAAACTGTAAAGGTTGACAGACTGGATAAGGAAGAAGGCATGGATGAAGACGGTTTTGGGGTGGGGTGGGGCGCATGTTCCCCGTGGGTGATGGGGAGGCTCCTGGCCTTGTCCAGGGGAGCTTGGGAGTTCTGCAGGAGCTGTGGTCCCAGAGCTTAGGCAATATGGCCAGTTCATGAGGAGGCCAGTGACAAGCAGGTCCCTTGAGAGGAAAACAAGGACCAACTGGTACTGACAGGCCGGGGAGCCTGAAAAGGCTCGACATCAGATCATGGCCCGAGAGAGAGGAGACAGCCAGACACCTAGCTTTGCCTCCCGTTCATTCATTCAGAAGCGGGCTTTGATATGCCGTTCCCCTGGCGGCAGAGGCGGCTCTGGCCTGGGGAGAAGTCAGGGGTCTGTGGGTGCCTGCATTTCCCCCACTTCCTGCCTGAGCAGTCTCCCACAGGAAGCTACTCAGACTTGGAGATTTTAGGCTTTACTGTTGTTTCTTTAAAAAATAAATTAAAAAAAAAAAAAAGGTTTTCTTTCCATGTCTGAAAAAGTAGCAGGGTTCTGCATTTACAACAGACAGACAAACAGCCGACGTGTCATATCAGGATGGGCCGGGAAGTGCTTTCAAGCAACTAGGCAAACAGTAAGTCTGGAGCCACTGGGACACAACGTGTAATTAAAAATATATTTATATATGTATACATATTTATATCTTGCATCTTCATACTGGTCCTCCAGGCCCTCGAAGGGGCTGCTCTTGAGGCAAGACCCCCAATAGGCCATTAAGAAGGAGCTGCTTTAGGTCCACGGTACCCACAAAGCCATGGTCTCTGCCTCTACACAGTGTTTGGGAGCCCCTGTATATGAACCCAGTAAGGAGTCTAGGACACCTCCCCTACTCCTGTGACTTGAATCCCCACCATCAGCCTCTCTCTTCCTCATGGTCCTGCTTCATTCTTAGCAGATGCTTATGTCCATACGTGTGTGCGCATGCGCACACACTCACATACACCACCCTATGGACACCTGGGAAGCAGGCCCCGTGCAAGCTCACCTGTGGCTCCCTGAAACTGCAGGGAGCAGGTGCCTGTGGACCTGGGCTGCCCAACTCTACAAGAGCACGATTTCCCTGGCGTCTCCTTTGTGCATCTTATCTGCCCTGTTCTTCCCACAACATCACCTGTGGGGCTTGTAGCGTCCCCTGGGCTCCAGGCTCAGCCTATGGGCTGGAATGGGGAACAAGGCAGCCAGAAGCAGAGAAGAGAAAGATGGGGAAGAGGACAGGGAGAGGAAAGAGATCAAAGCTGGGGTGGCCATTGACCTCTATTCCCTCTTCCCAGCAGAACCTTTAGAGGCCCTATCTTGGGACCAGAAGATTTCACTTGGGGACAGCCAGAGCGAATTAGGGAACTCTTCCTTCTCCACTTCCCCTTCTGCTCTTCTAGACTTGAGAGAATTAAGAGAGATCTTCCTCACTTTCATTCTAGCCAGTCTGATTTGACTAGGAAGCCTCAAGAGCAGTGGTTCTCAACCTTCCTATGCTGCGACCCTCTAATGCAGGTCCTCATGTTGGGGTGACTCCCAACCATAAAATTATTTTCGTTGCTACTTCATGACTGTAATTTTGCTACTGTTATGAATTGTAACGTAAATATCTGATACGCAGGATGTCTGATACACAACCCCTGTGAAAGGGTCATTTGGGGGTCTCAACCCACAGGTTGAGAACCACTGCTCAAGAGCCTCCAACACTGGGAAGCCACTGGGCTTGGACACGTTCCGGGGGATCCTCAAAACATGGGTTCCCACTTCCCAGAGATGAGGCAGAGCAGCCACCAGGTACCACCCAGAGACCAGCCTCTTGGACTTAGCCGTATCCTCCTCTCTAGCCATCATAGAAGGGGTTGCTCCCTGGGACCAAAGCCTTTCAAGAAATCCTAGCTCTGTTTCTAGCCTGAAGAACTCCATCTGGCTGGCTGCCTGGTCACCTACCAAACTGTCCCAGTCATGACCCAAGGATTTCCCCTCTCCCTAACAGCCTCGGAGGCTGTTCTAGGTCTTGCTTGGGATGAGGCGAGGGCGAGGTACAGCCCATGAGTGAGGCTCCAAGACCCATGAAGCCAGCAGCAGCTCTTCCTCCAGAGGCTCCTTGGAACAAGACTTGCATTTGGTTTTCATTTGCCAGCTTCGGTTCTGGCCCTGCTCGTCCTGATGGGGGCCAGGGCAGGTCCTAAGGCAGTCCAGGAGACAGTATCAGCCCTTTGGAAGCTAGCAGTGGACAAGAGCAGAGGCACTGCAGGGCAGGGGCCCCGGGAACGCACGATTCCAGGGGGGACCCCCATTGGGGCAGAAGTTTCCAATTACTAGCTGGCTACTGACAAGCTGTTTGTGGCTAGATTCTTTCCAGAGGGGGCAGGGTTTGATCTCCCACTAATCAGGGGGTCCTTGAGGGGACGACTGTGTGATCACATTGAGGGCGTGTTCATTGAGAAGAGAGACTTCAAAGCCATCGACTTTTGAAAAAAATAAAATAAAAGGGCGCAAGTTGAGCTGTGAGTCCCAGCTCCCTTCTCTGCCTGAGGGAGCAGCAGGCCCTGGGGCTGGAGGCTGCGGGGCGGGGGGGGGGGGGGGGGGGGTCAGAGGAAGAAGCACGAAGGTTAGAGGGGGGGCAAAAAAGCTTTTCCCCCAGTTCCACTGGGGCTGACAAAGGCTGTCAATTATGGGCGGCTGGTGGGGACCGTGCCTGCCTTTGTCCTCCCAGACATCTGCTACGCGCTGCCTGCTGCCAGTTGGCGAGTGCGGCCGACAGCACGTGGGAACAATGAGAGCCATCTCGACCCACTTTTTCAGCCTTCAGCCGTCCTGGCTGACCCAAGCGGTGGCCAGAGGTGTGGGAGGCTTGCAAGGCAGCTGGAGACAGTGAGGAGCGGCGGCAGAGACTCCTCCCATAAAGCTCTGGGGGGGGGGATGGGTTGGAAGGCAGGGGGCGGGGAGGACCAGAGCTCAGGAGAGCAAGGGCGGGTGACCACCAGGACAAAGAAACATGCGTCCCTTGGTGCGAGCCGCCACATGCTCAGGCTGGGGAGGCTGCATAGGGGAGCTCTTCCGAGGCATCCAATCCCCTCCTCGGCTGGTTCCAGACTGGCCACTGTTGCTGCCTGCCTGCCTCCCTGCTCATTTCTTTTTCCCGCCAGGGCCACCCCTGTCCTTTCGCCTGTCCATCTGGCCCCGTGGACCAGGGCCCCAGCTGCCTATGGGCTGCCTGCCAGGCCCCTTTGTCTGTCAGGCTGTCAGTTTCTGGATGGTCCTGTTGTAGTACTGCGTGATGGGGGGCGTCAAAGGGTTCCAGCTGTTGGCGTGGAGCTCGATGACCTCCAGGAGCAGGGACCGGGTTAGCATGGACTCTGAGGGGCATAGCATCTTATCTCGGGCGCTGGCTAGGAGCTCCGTCATCATCTCAGGCAGCTGCTCCTCCAGCAGCCGGCCTGTGCTTTGTAGCTGTGGGTGAAAAGTGTGGTCAGGATGAGACTTGGACCCCATGATATGCACTCCCACCGCCACCCCCCCACCCCCCACCCCGAATCCTTGGCTAGGTAGGCTGGAGGCAAGGACCAAAAAGATCCGGATTGTCCTAGGGACATGCAGATCCAGGCAGGAATAGCCAACGGTGAGATGCTAAATTTAACAACCATCTGCCAGCAGGAATGCCGGGAGCCAGGATATTGCCTGCTGCCCAGGCCTGACATCAACTTATTAGCAACTCACCTCTTGTGTCTGCTTCCCCAGAACCTCTCCTCCTGCAGGAAGCTTTCCCTGACTACACTTGGCCCCTCACTTGACCCCATGGTCTGCTCCCTTGGGAGATCAGGTATCTCTGTGGTAATTGCCATTCTCCAGGTATTTCTCTGGGAACAGATTAGTGATCGGTACTTATGTGTGTCTGTGTGGAACAGGAGGGGACACGGGGTCTTTTTTCTAACTCCAAACCTACCCCTAGCTCCAAAACTGACCTCTGCCCACATCTGTAATGATAGGTAGGAGAGAAATATGAACTGAAGTAGAAGGCCAGTCAGGTGATCTTGGGAGAGCCATCAATTTCGAGGGGAGGGGTGGACAAACCGGGCCAGGAGAAGTTCTCATCTTTGACTTCTGGCTAACAACTCCTGCAGGTCCCTTCTCATATAATCTGAACCCTCATTGCCACCGCACCCTGGCCTTGTCACAAAGCCTTTCCTGACCTCTGGGACCCACCCTGACCTCCCTCCCCTGATTTCCATGGATATATACTCTGTATGCACATTCTTCCCATACATTCCCCAGGCACTGTGCGTGTGCCGGCCTTGAAGCCATCTGAAGGAATGACCTCGTCCTATCTTTCCCTCAAATCTTCCCAAGCACCCAGGCAGGTGCCCTGCTGGAGCCCAACAAATAAACTTCATGACCATCCCATCCAACCAAGACTGCTGTGCAGGCTCTTGGCACTTAGAAGCTCCTGTGTGCCACCCTGAGTGACTCTGGGCTATTTGTAGAGGGCAAGGATTTGCCCCAGAACCCAGCTAGCCTTGGAAGGAAGATTCTAGAAGTTCCAGTGTTCAGTGGCTGCACCTTGAGATCAAGAGCCTTCCAAGAGGCTAAGCCAGTGTAGGAGATTCAATCAAGCATTTGGCACCTTCTCCTAATTACATGCCATGGAAGTGAAGGGAGATCTTTGGGGACAGCAGGTCACCTGCAACGTCTTAAGTCATTAGTGTGGCATGTCCGATCCAAATAAGGGGAGGTCTTGGGACAGGGAAGTGGCCAGTGCCAGCCTGTATTGATTCCTCTCGAGAACAATCCATGACCAGCTCCACAGCCATCCCCCACTGCTCCACTGGTGAACAAGTGACTCTTGTTCCCTCAACTGCGAGGCCCGAGGGCACAGGCATCTGGGGTTAGGCCGTCTGAGCCCACAGCTCACCTCCATGGAGCAGCACAGGACAGCATCTTCCTTCACATCCTGAGACTGCAAGAGCTGTAGAAAAGAGGACAGGGAAGGAAATGGTCAGGCCCAGCATCAGCTGCTAGCCTGGCAGGTGGGCCGCCGTCCTGCTCATTCCTGACCCAGCTTCTGCGCTGCTGCTGACCAATCTCTGTACTGGGTCAGGATCCAGGGCCTGGCTATGGGAGAGAGTTCAGCCATCTAACCATCTTCTCCACGGGTGCAACACTGCAAACTCAAAGCCAGCTGTGACCCATCCACAGTGAGTGCTTTTTAACCAAGGCTATGGCCAGGCTTCCTTGACCATATCCTACCAGGTTTTCCTCTACCTATACAACCTGTCCTCTCAATGTCTCTCTTTAGAAATTGAGGCACAACTCGTCTAACATAAAATTTACCATTAAAAAAATTTTTTTGAGACAGAAGCTCATGTGTCCCAAGATGGCCTTGAATTTGCTATGTAATTGAGGATGACCTCCAATTCCTGATACCCCTGTCTCTATTGCCTAAGTTTTGGTATTAAAGGTGTGTACCACCATGTCTTGACTTTTTTTTCATTTGAGACAGGGTTTCATACTACAGTGCAAGGTGGCCTCAGACTAGCCATCCTCCTGCCTCAGCCTCCCCAATGCTGAGATCACAGGTGCAGATGTTACATTTGGCTCAAATTCAGCATTTTCAGTATATAACTGCATGCCTCACACGCATCTCAGTTCTGTTTCCGCTCTCTGTACTTTTGTCCCTGGAGACTCTAGGCCACCCCATAACCACAGACCTCACTATTCTACCCTACTCAGGCCCCTCCCACACATGACTCTTCTGATAGGCTTCCTCCTAGTGGTCTGGTGTGTAACTGATTGCCCCTATCCGGTCCCCACTGACATCTCTCTGTGGCCCCTGACGTCTGTATCTTCTTGTGTGTCTGTTGTCTTTTTTCCTCCATCAGAAACGAAGCTCAATACGTTCAGGGCCTAATTTGTTCACCATTGTCCCCAGCCCCTGGCACAGGTGCTTAGTCAACAGAAAATATTTGCCAATAAGAGTCTTTGGGAAGGAGGAAGAAAGCCTGGCAAGCCGGTAGTGTCTGCGGGAGGCAAAAGAAGTGCCATTTTAAGAGGACACTGTCTTCAGGGCAGTGACGCATATCGCCTTGAGAAGGTGACAGTGAGAGAGATGTGAATAGCACCATCTCACACACCTCTCTCATCAGGAAGGACATGGTGCAGAATTACAACCCATGCCTCTGCAAACACACAGCTCATGTCCAGTGCCATCTAGGGCAGCATTTCTCAACCTGTGGGTCATGACTCCCCTGGGTAGTCGAATGACTCCTTCACAGGGGTCGCATATCAGATATTCTGCATATCAGATATTCACATTATGATTCATAAGAGTAGCAAAATTATAGTTATGAAGTATCAATGAAAACAGTTTTGTGGTTGGGGGTCACCACAACATGAGGAACTGTATTAAGGGACTGTAGCGTTAGGAAAGTTGAGAACCAGTGCTCTAGGGTAACATGGTGCTAATCAACAACTTCGTAGCCCCTGACTCAGCATGGTTTCTAGGACTTCCTTCTGAGCATGCACCCACACACATTATACAATATACCTATTATCTACTTCATTCTATAGAGCCAAGGACAGACAGTGGCTCGGACACCTGAGACATCTACACAGAGGACTGTGTAGACACAGCGGTCTCTTCCCTCCACACTGCTGTCTGCCGCTGGAATTCTCTTGACTTTTGTCCCAAGGCTGCAAATCCTTATAGAGAGCCCAGGAGGCTTTTACCCAGCTAGTGTCCTGGAGGTGTTCTGAGAGCCACACATGGGTCTCTCATCTGGATGACTCAGGAAACCAGAGCAAAGATTAGGAAACATGGTCCGGAAGAAATTGAGGGGGGTGGCATTTCACCTTGGAGGCCAGCATGCCATCTAGCCCACTCCAGCAGGAGCTGATTCCAAGGTCTGGAAGGGTCTAGTGACCTCTGGGTTGGAGGCAGAGATATGCCTGCTTTCGTTTCCACCACAGGGAAGATGGAGGCTAGCATAAGGTGAGCTCTGCATAGCTCTGGAACCCCTGCTGTGGCGAACATCCCTCATGTGCCCCCCACTCCCCATGAGGGTAGGGGCTAGCCGGAGAAAATCTTTAAACCAAAAATGGCTGGCTGGGTAGGGTGATGCACACCTGTAATATCAGCACTTGCTGTGGCAGGGGGATGTTGAGTTTAAGGCCAGTTTGGGCTACACAGTGAGAGTCTACCTCAAAACAAACAAAAATCACAAATCAAATTGCTGTAGAAATTACAATAAATAAATAAAATGCTATAGAAATTACAAGGAAGGCAGAAGATGAGGTTTCTAGGGGTGGGAACTGGAGACTGTGTGTGTGTGTGTGGGGGGGGGTGTTGGCCACTGTGTAGGGAGGAAGAGACACTGGGGTCTGGAGGCAAGTGAAAGGCAGGCTCACTGTGCATCATTTGAAGGCTGTTGTGGTAGCTACTCGAGGCAGGTTTCTCAGGGCACATGCAGGTGTGTGCCCGGGTCATGTTTGGTCCTAAGGTCCTTAAGAGTCTACCAGGCAGGCCATGGTGGTGGTGGCAGCGCACGACATTAATCCCAGCACTCGGGAGGCAGAAGCAGTTGGATCTCTGTGAGTTCAAGGCCAGCCTGGGCTACAGAGTGAATTACAGGAAAGGCGCCAAAACTACACGGAGAAACCCTGTCTCAGAAAAAAAAAAAATCCCAATTTTGGGGCTGGAGAGATGGCTCAGCGGTTAAGAGCACTGGCTGCTCTCCTGGAAGATCCGGGTTCAATTCCCAGCACCCACATGGCAGCTCACAACTGTCTCTAACTCCAATTCCAGGGGATCTGACACCTTCATATCAATGCACATAAAATAAAGTTAAATAAATAAATTGTTTAAAAAAAAAAGTATGCCAGGTTTAGTGACAAGTGAGACAATGTTATAGGAAATTCCTCAAAAAGTCAGGGCCTGAGAAGCAGTGACTACTGTGAGACACGCTGTCCCTACTACCCCTGGAAAGTGGCCTTCCCCACTTCCGGGGACGCTGCAGGGAAAGCCGCATGCAGCTTTGAGGTCTGTTGGCAGAGTGCTGTGACCCCTGAGCCAACAGCTCCTCCTCATCTCCTCTTCTACCCAGGGCCCGCTTGCCTGCCTTTGGCCTTCTGTGACAGGATGAGGCGCCGCTGTCTTTCTGTCCATGTTCCTTCCTTTATTCCTCTACTCTTTTCCTATTATCTATGCGAGTGTACTATGTCCCTGGCTCCCTAAAGACGGCTGTACCACTTCTACCCCTCCAGGGCATGTGTCCCTCGCTTGGGACAGGGAAGACTGCTCAGGACTCCCAAGCAGAGCTGTGGGAGGGTTCTTTCTTCTAACCTTATCTCTTACTCGGCTGTTGGGAAAGTCTGTGCTTAGCCAAAAACCACATCGTGTGACAGGCCCTGCTGCACAGGCCTGCTGGGCTTTCTCGAGGAGGTTCCTGAGAGCTGTGTCTTCACCGTGACTGTGTACAGAGAGGACAGGAAGGAGAGGATGGGGAGGCGCCTCAATTCGTGAAGTGCCTGCCTCGCAAGCAGGAGGGCCTGAGTTGGAGCCCCAGACCCTGGGTAAAAATGCCAAGTTCAACTGGGGCACATTTGTAATGTCAGCCCTGGAGAGGCAGAGACAGGAGCTGGGGTTCGATGGCCTATTGGTCTAGCCTAATTAATTAGTGAGCTCCAGGTTCACTTAAAGAACTTGCCTTGCCAGGGGTGGGGTGGGGGTGGTGGGGGTAGTGGGGATGGCACACGCCTTTAATCCCAGCACTCGTGAGGCAGAGGCAGGCAGATCTCTGTGAGTTCGAGGCCAGCCTTGTCTACAGAGCGAGATCCAGGACAGGCTCCAAAACTACACAGAGAAATTCTGTCTCAAAAAATAAAAACAAACAAAAAAAGAACTTGCCTCAAAAAATAAGGAAGAAGACATCTGACCTGCTCATCCCTTAGATGCAGACTGACTTCTTGATGTTGGACATAGATGCCTAGACCCTTTAGTGATGACTACAGAAACAGTTTCTTCAACTTCCTTCTTTGACCTCTGAGGGTGCCTTGCTCTGCTCCATGGATAGTCGGGAAGTCCCCACTTACTTCTTTTCGTGGTAACAAGAGGCTTGCCTGTCTCATTCAGTGAGGGGCCCCTCCCCGGAACCCCTTTGTGTATATCCTCCCAGGTTGAGCAGACCCATCAGTGGCTCCCTAGTATCCACTTCTGGACTTCCCCTCTGTGGTTATCATAGACATCCTTCCAAGTGCAGAGCCTTTCTATTCTTCCACCTTGGCCCAGAGTTCCTGTTTCGTGTTCCATTTCTCTAAGTCTACGTTCCCAAAGGGACAGCTAGGTTCTGGATAAGAGAAGCCTGTTTGTATGTTGAGGGGCCAAGTACTTCTCTTATTTATGTATATTCTACTTGAGATTTTTCAGGAGATAGTTGCTTGAACTCAAAGATTAATCTCTAAAAGGAGCAGCCACTTGAGTAGACATAAGTCTTGTATGCTTCTTCATGGCTGTGTAGTAGTCAAAGGCAGAGAAACCCAAGTGTCTATCACTGGGGAAAAGGACAAACAAACAATCCATCTCTACAAGGGAATATTATTCAGCTCTAAAAGGAATTGTGCCATGTTCCATCACTTCAATGAACCTTCGAGACACTGCTAAAGGAAAGTAGCCTGGCACAAAAGAACAAATACAGTATGATTCTATGTAGATGAGGGACTGAGAACACACAAATTCATAGAGGCAGAAAGCAGATGGCTAGCAGGAACTGGAACATGGGATGGGGAGCTATTCAGTGGAGACAGGTTTTCTACTGGGGAAACATAAAGACTGGGGAGCAGGTAGGGATGATTACAGAGCAATTTGAATGGGCTTAATACTGTAAAAGTACACTTAAAATGGTAAATATTATGTTATATGTATTTTACTGCAACAAAACTGGCTATTTTTTTTTTTTTTTAAAAGACAGTGAC